CTGGGAAGAAACTAGCAAAATTTAGACACTGGGGGCTCTTACCTGCTACTTCCTTCTGAAGGGAATGACCGGTTGCAAAGTTCCGCATGACAGTTCTGGCCGGTACAGTGCTCCCACGTGCAAGTGTTTCCTTTGCATCTGGGGACCCTGCAGTAATACCGGCGATTCATGAACAAGGTCGAGTGGGCTAATGGTGGAAGCTCCCACTCGTAAAATTCATGCGACTGGGAAGAGTTGTCACTCTCACCAGCTTCGGACTGTTCTTTGTCCCTCTCCTGGCATGGATGCTTGGCATGCTCCTCTTCCCCTGAGCGGACTGCGAGGTTGGCTCGCCGTTCTAGTTCATGTTCGCCCAGCTGCCAGTGCATTGCTTCGGCAGCCCGCCATCCGACACCCAGCTCGTCTCCTATTTGCTTCCACATCTCCCCTTTCAATCTGGTAGAAGTTAGAGTCTTGTGGTTGAGTGATATCTCCATCGCGAGGGAAAACCACACACGCACCTGTTATATACGACCGAGAATTGGGTTTTGGCTCTCTCTGAGACTTGTAGATTCTGATGGTGCTTGTAATACTCTGAGCAGCTGAACTCACTTCTCCCTGGTATCTGTTCGGCAATCTCATCCCATTCAGCCCCTCGGGCTCGCAGCTTGACAATGAACTTGTCTTCTACAGCCCGTCTACCTGCCCAGTATTCGTAGTAGTCGCGACAGTGTCTTTCAGATCTCCCGGGAAGCCGTTCTGAAATCACATGCCAATCGAGTCCTCGTTCCCGGGACTGAAAGATGAAATCCTCCTCACTTTCTGTCCAGCGAGCACTCATGATACCCGCCCTCTAGGAAAGGCATACGGCAGAGGAGGCTCTTGCGGCAGATACAGGAGTTGATGGGGCAGGTTTTGCTGTCCTGAGTGGTAGATTTAAACCTGCGCCCCTGCCCGCCAATACTTTAAGCTCTGACGGGGGGCGGGGGTTGGAGAACAAGGACTAGCCTTTGACGTCTGATATGACATGGATGGTGGGCTTTCACGAGGTTGACTCTTACATGAGATCTGTATTTGTTAGTGTGCGGTGAGAGGATCAGCGGCCATCCGTAGCTTGTGAAGGAATGTTTGATGTGTGGCAAATCTCGCACTGCTGGCTCGGAAGAGTCGAAAGAGTCGAGAGGGGGCTGAGGGGTGTGTTGGGTTGTGCAGCAGCTGATAGGATGCGATAGCCGGTTCGGTTTCATTACACCTACATAGGAGTTGATCGATCACCTGACTCACTGATCGATGGGACTCCGCGGCAGACCGAATAATGCATATGCCGGGGTGCATTAACTGTGAACTGCCGTTACTCTGTTGCCACTCCCTGACAAGGTACCTAGCGTTTCTATATTGGAACGTGGGGCAGCATTGAAAACCGGACGGTGCCCTGGGTTCGGGGAATGGAAGGAATCATCTTGATCTAGTCTATGACATTGCTTTTGCCTCTGACCAGAGCACACTCCGAGTACTCTTTTCTGGTTCTTATGAATGGCGTAGTCCTATGTTCGTTGCAACCGACGGTGTCTCTCGATTCTGTCCCATCGTTTTCTCTAGGCTACCTGCACTTCCAAGATCGCAAACCCTGCACTACGTAATCGTGATCCATGCTAAACGGCACTAGGTTTGATTCCTCCCTCACCTAAGTCCGGGCATCCCTATGTCCAAGTTTACGGGTCGCTTGTGGTGGATCTTCGGATGGTGACCCCTGCTTCGGCCGACCCCTGTGCGGCAACAGGAAATTAAACCTAGAGCTGACATGAGACCAAAGCTCTCTCCTGGTCTTCGCTTAGGTCGATTTATTTCTGATGGAGCTATTGAGACTCGGCAGTTTGAGATTTAGGTACACGTGGCTAAGATTAGGTCCAGCCTGAAGAGCCGAGGCATGTGAAGGGCTGAAATCCGAATGCTTACATAGTATAACCGTCATGCTCATCTATGCTTACCTCGCGTACTGTATACGGATAGACGGGACCGAGAGGGCTTCTTCTTGACCGTCCGCACCTGAAAGTAACCCGTGTAAGATTTCCTTCGGACAAATCAAACGGCGGGTTGTGGCCGAAGTTGGGGCGTGGATTTGTGGTTTTGGAGCTGGGAGAAAATGAAGAGGCCATTCGGCTTTCTTGCGAAATTGCCTAGTGGCGATGTATCTGAATGGACCTTGAAAACGACTAGCTACTTCTTGTCCCTGGAACTTGGCTATAGACCCAGCTGACGGACAAGGAGCCTTTCGGCACGGACAAGGAGCTTTTGGCACGGACAAGGAGCCTTTTGGCACGGAGATGAACGATTTTATAGACAGGGAGAGTTAGAGACCTGATAACGATCGTCTGTTTTGCTGAATCCTTAGAAGGCTGTTTCTAGAACCCTGTTCTCGTAAATTACCGGAATCAGTATGATAAAAGATACAGGATTATGGATATACTGCCGAGTTCAACTTCTTTATTCTATCATGACGAAGTGGCAGCTTTATTGTATCGAGTTCGGAGGGCAGAATGTATTTTTCTCTTCAGTCATAAATGGGTGAACAAAAGGGGTTCGTCAGATCATTCTTTCATACATTCCGATATTGGCTTTGAAAGCTATAAAAACATCGTAATAGTATCCAGTTTACCCACTAACACGGCGCAGTACCAGTCGAATCCATCGCCTCATTATAGCCAAATTGCGTCATTTGAATGTGGCGGTAGAATCATTTGGTAGTGACATTGTCGAGAGCCTGAGGGAGGGTTCGTATCGCAAATAATTCTCCCCCCTGAACGCTCGTACTCATCCCATTAAGGAATACGTTAGTTGTTCTAGATAGATTGATAATCTGGACCACGCTCGGCAGTCTCCTCTTGTCGTCATTCTTCATCTACCATTTATTCAGGTATTCACAAATTATTTGGAGTCCTGGTCTCGGCCATGGCGCCAGCGTGTAACGTAACACCCATTGTCACTGTTCGCTAGTTGTTCGTAATGCAACCAATGGTGACCTTTCGGAGGCCGTATGTTTCGCGCAATGATACTGCGTTGGGTATTTTTGTGAATTATTACCTATTCTGGTAAAAACCACAATAGATTGCCGTGGCATGATTCATACCCCTGTTCCGGAGCTGGGCGCGTCAGCTTATGCCTAGAAACTCGAAACCCCCGCGGGATGACATAGCAGCCCCAGCCCTCATTAGCTTGCGTGGGACTTATGAAGACTCCTCCCTTGAATGCCGGCTAGTGACATCTGCCGAGTGGTAGGGCATGAGAACATCAACTGCCGTCTTTCGATCTTGCAATGGAATGATCAACTAATGCAGCTATTATGGAGTGTTTCATTTTGCGCCGTAAGCGATACTCCTTCAGTCGAAAGATGAGATATGGCCTCAAACCCAGTGTCATCGCCTGTCTGATGTTTAGCCAATATCTAAAGGCAGATATTTAGCCTTTGCGTTGCTGGATACGACAATAAGAGTAGAGACTGCATTCCATTCAGCGTTGTTGGAACCAGTGGAAAGAGAAGTCTAAGAAATCATCTATCCGTTGGTTGTATCGGGTCTCGCTCTGAAAATTCAATATATACAAGCACATCGCAGAATGAAAACCGATTTGGACTAGAGAATAATGATATTACCGAACCCCACCAAACCCCCGGAACTGACCCTAACCTAACCCCTAACTTAGCCTGACTAAATTCTGTACGGGCAGATTGCTGTGCTTCAGCCACATTTAGGTGGCAAAATAGTGAAATGTAGTGGTTGGATAGGAACGTAGCGGAGAGAGAATTTTAAGAGAGAGAATTTTAAGAGAGAGAGAGAGAGAGAGAGAGAGAGAGAGAAAGAGAGAGAGAGAGAGAGAGTGTGTGTGTGTATTCAACGCCGGAGGATCCCTGGTGAGGGCAAAGGGCGTCTAGCTACTGCTGCCTAGGAGTATAACAGACTTTGCTACCCTTTAAGTATTCCATAGTCCTAGATAGTTAACTAGAATAGTTTATTAATCCGATGTTTTGTCTATTATCCCTAGCAGGCGGCGAACGTCAATAAGGTATTCTCTTTGTGTGTCAGGTTTCTCCGGCTGATTTGTACTACAGGCTTCCCGGTAGGTCGCCTTAACGGGTGCAAATCTTGTCGAAGAAGCCGCTTTTGGTGCGAGGAGACTTCTAAGAAACCATCTCGTCCTTGGTCATAGGGGGCTGCACTTTGAATTAGACAAGCCAAAAGATAATCTATATCCCCAAACACTTCGCAAAATTATTACCGAATTAAGCCAGAGAATAGTCTTATTATTGCACCAGCACATTGGTCGATGGAACATGATCCTGTCCCCTTAATGGGGTTGAAAGAAGAGGCAATGAAATCAGTACTTAGTAGTTATTTCATCCTGCATGGTGGATTGTCTCATTCATCTCGCATTAATATACCTATCAATAGGCAATTTAAGTAACTCATGATCTAAATATAGACTTCCCCTGCATCGCATTTCTGATTGAAAGTTACATGTAGCAACCTGCATGATGCGGCAGCCGATAAGGATGGAGAATATGATATAGCATACCCAGTCAGTTTATACCTAGGTGTACATTCTTGAACTTGGAAGTATGAAGGTAATGACCTACCTTAGCGTTCTGAGTAGAATGATATCAGTGGAAATAGCCAAACTTACAATCCCTTCTGAACACCAAATTTAGTATGATCGACGTGGCTGCATTGGTGATTCCTCCTGCTATAAGTAGAGAGGATACTCATTAGAGTTGAACCACTTTCATTCCAACATTCTTGTAGAAATCATGCATCCAATCATTGGTGGTTAAATTGGACCAACCATAGAGTAATGTATTGTCTTACATCCCCGCCTCCCTTTCTAGCCAATACTGCCACCCTCCAAAATTGACCACGTAATCTTTACCGCAAAAGATCCAGAGGCGGGTGAAGGCGCAATAGAGCAGGGAACGCGGAATCACTCGAGCACACCTGGCGCAAACCATCTACCGGTACCTACTAAGGAACATGTCTGGCATGTATGACACAACAGGCACGGGTAAGAGGCCGAGACAAGAACTCGAAGCCCTTCCAGCCGACGTGCTTCTGGCAATACTCTCTGCGTCTCACAGCACGGGCGATTTGTACTCGATGGTGCGCTCTTCTAGAGCAGTCTACGACGCATTTCGATCTGCAAAGCGGACTGTCTTGATCAGCATTGTGGCTAGGGACCTGGGTTGGTCTGGTCTACGGACCGCAACCGCCGCGACTTTGATAACCCCTGCGACATTTCCAAATGGCTCCAGGCACGAAGGAGATGAAAATCCCGCCATCAAACTTTACGAGTCAGTCGTCCACGAGGATCGTGGGCTATCGTTCGCAAGGGGCCTGTCAGAGGTCGAGTTGGCGAAGCTCGTGAGAATAAACCGTGGTGTGCAGTTCGTCGTGGATCAATACGCCGCGGCTAGACTTCCAAGGCTGCGGGAGATACACGCTGATGCTGCACGGGAGCTGAGCTTCCGAGAACGACAGCGGCTTGCGCACTCCTTCCTCCGACATCAAGTTCTCGCATCTATGCAGTCACTCGGAGTAATGACACAGGGGACAGTAGCTTACGAACAGCTATTCGACCTCTTTCGGCCTTGGGAGATTCAGCAAATCACTGATGCCCATAGCTTCCTGCGTGCCATGACGTTGTTTGTGTTCCCTTCTTGTGAGCGAATCCCGCGAAGCTTGTGGGGAGTCCACTTGACAGGGCGAGAGTGGTGGAGAGACTCGGACGAGCACGAGGCGATGGATGATCTCGTTGTGATGCATGTGAGGTTCCTTGAGAAATTTGGGCACAAGACCATGGCAGATTTAGAGATGGAACTGGACATATCCAAAAGGGAGCGGGAAGCAAGGCGCAATATGATGCCTGCGAGTTACAACTTCCTCGCCGCCAGATCACTGCCGCAGGCAAGCTCTAGTCAATGGGCCGAGCAGTATTGGAGCCTCCGGGGCGAGATCTACCATCGAGAGGATGCTCTGCCTGGCTTGTTTGCAGTCGAAAACGATGACGATGGCAACCAATCGGCTCCATTTGCATGGATTGATGGGCATCGTGGAATTGATTGTCAGCGATGGGGGGAAGATCTATTCCGAGTAACACTACCTCCAGGACAGGGAAATCTGACCGATCTTCAGATAAACTGGACTCGACTGATTGTTCGCCAGTGGCGGTGGTTGGGTTTCATGTTCTGGGACAGGGAGCGGGCAGAGTTACTCAAATCGAAGCTACCGGAGTATGCGACCGGTTGGCTTACGAGGCCTCCGCCATGTGACGATGATTTATCACTTGAGGGTCTTTGAATAATCTGCTACTTCTATTTGACTACATACTTTGTCTAGGAAGCACATTGTACAAGCCAAGCTAGCAGGCTTGGAAGATCTGTAAGAAGTTACCATTTCAGACCAAGACTAGGCACTCAGATATGAGAATGTGACTCCGGAAGACGCAAGAGGAAAAAGAATAGAGTTGCATAGGACTATTTATGGAGTGATTGAGTTGTTAAACTCCGTCCTGATCAAAGGGCGGAATCTGAGAATCAAAAGCGTCAGTGATTATCCCTACTCCGTCCTCCAACAAATTGCGAAATATAGCGTTTGGTTTTGGTTTTTTCTCCGAGAAAGGATTTGGTCCCTTCTCATAGAGAAACGCATGTACCTCCTCATCAATGCATATTGATTTTCCGTAAACCGGCGCAATCAATACCCCAACTCCATGAATACTAATGTTGATCTGAATCTTTCTTTCTCGGTTTTGCCAATCCATTCCATCTCTTATCTGCTCAAGTGTCCCCCGATAGCTTCCCTGAGAAAAATTGAGATAGCTCAACTCAAGAGTTTCTAGCTCCTCGGGCAACTCACTAAGAAAAGCTACTAGATCGCTCTCTTCAACCCAGAAGCACCGGAGTGTCAAGTGCTGAAGCCGCGCAGAACAATTCTTGGGAATCATGCTTCTGAGCGGCACTGGATTTCTTGGAGGGTGAGTCCTATATCCCTTCGACCAGCCCTCGCTGGTCGAAAGACTGAGATGCCTCAAATCTCGAGCGCCAGAAAGTGCACGGCGCAAGAGACCATTGCTCATAATACCCCATCGGTCCACAAGCCTAAGCCCGGATAGATCGAGCTTCAAGCTTGCGAAGTCTTTTCTCGCAAGAACAGCCTCAAACTGCTGGAAGATTTTGGTTTCGTTCTTGAGGAAATCGACGTCTATTCCAGAATATTCCAGATGAGCATCGATGGATAGTTCTGTAACTCTTCCGCCGTCAAGATTCTCTGCTAAAGCTTCGATGATAGTATTAAACCCATTACAGCCTTCATTTGAAGTGGCCCAGTTGCGATTAGTTCTTCTAACATCCTCACTGCACCTGAGCCATCCGTGAGGGATTGGATACTGGAATAGCCGGGGAAACTGCCTGATCATTGGCGTGTGGTACAGCGGATTGAACAGCCGACCGTGCGTAGCGGCCGTGACGGTGATTTTCCGAAGCGCTGCGAATTGCGCAAGACCAAATCGCAGTGCCTTCACGTATGACTCGTCTTCGAGAACTGCTTCCTGGTCTCGGAGGAGTTTGAAGTAGTACGGTAGCGTCATCTCCCAGTTGTACGTTCTCAGCTTCTGCCAGGTCAAATCTTGCGAGAGATAATCTTCCAATTTGTGTCGGCGCTCGTCCTCACTCGCTTCAATTAGGGCCTCCAAGTCTCTTCTGCAAGCTTGACGGATCCAACGAGGCGGTGGGCCTTTGGCACACTGATCCTCGAGCAGTTTGCTCGGACCTAGCGACATGCCGCCGTGCCACAGATTGTCGGCTGCGGGCAGGAGGGCATCGTCGTAGATGATTTCAACAACTTGAGTGCGGAAGACGCTGTGGTTTGCTACGGCTAGAAATACCTCGATGTTCCTCGAGTTCGCGGACAGGAAGACGCGGCGGAAATCCAGGCGCGCTGTGGTGGCGAAAAACGAGGACGTGAGACGCAGGTTCTTGATGTCGCTGTTGGGCAGATGTCCGCATATCAGGTGAAGCACCTCTATTGGGAGAGCTGAGTGAATGAGCCTGGCCGTGGAGGAGGCTGCGGGTTGCGGTGTGAGCTGTGTGTCCATCTTCACATGAACCGTCTGGGTGAATGAAGGAAAGCCAAATAGGAGTTGGAGAACTTCACACAACGTCTGACTTCTCTCCCCTTCCTCTGCTTCTGGTTGGCTACTGCTCTTCATGCGGGGTCTCGGAAGATCCACCAATATCACCCGATTTCACTCAGTTCATGATGATGTAACGGCAGGAGTATCATCACGGTGGAATCATGGCAATGGCAAATGTGACCTCTCAAAATGCTACGCCTGTTATTTTTACACAGATGAGTTCGGGCTTGGATTTGACGGTGGTAAAGTTATAAACAACTGGCTGGACTACCTCTAGCCCAAAGATCGACCCTGGTCTCAACCCCAGCAGGGGGATCTCCGGCTTGATTGGTGATGAAGCGGTCATATTTCCATTCAAAATTCATCAGTGCTCTCAAATTCACTCAGAAAATCAAACGTTCCATTCAAATCAGCCAGCATCTTTCCTTCTGAGATGTCTCATGCTGGTATTTCCATCTCGGCAGTGCATCTCAACAAGTCAATTGTGTCACGCAACCAGTATGAGCAGTCAATGTATTAATTCACGCAATTGCGTTAAAAATATGAAAAGAACTCGATCCAATAAGCCCAATGAAAGTAACAAGAAGTGAGAATCTGTACCACACTGGACGTAGCATCCAAGGCCGTTGCATCGCAGCCAGCTACCTGAACAGACACTCGCTTACAATCACATGCCCGAAAATCCCTCAAGCATTCTGAGATTCCACCCACGAACGGCAATGGTCTGCCAAGCTCTGCTCTAGGGGGCGGTATGTTATCCCCAGCTCCTCAACGCTTCGGGAAACATCCATGAGGAAATGTATGCCTAAATTTTCATCAACATACCTCCTTGATATCCCAAGCAACCCGCCAACAGTACGCAGGAAAAACCCAGGTATGGTCCACTTGGGGAGTTTCCAGGGGGTTGGATGGACAGGACGCAGCATGTCAGCCATCTCCAGCCATGGTACACTCCTCTCGCTTGCTATCAGATACCTGCCGTGGGCTTCTTCTCGCTCCAGAGCTCTCACGTGTGCCAGAGCCACATCGCGCACATCGACCGGGGGGAAAGGCAAGTCAGGCGTGCCCATCATGAGCGTGCCGTTCATTAACATGCCTAAAGCATTCAAACTCCCAGAGCTCGAATCTGGCGTAAGATTGGGGCCTATCACCACTCCGGGTAGGATTGCCACCAATTTCCAGCGACTCTGAGCTTCTGCCATCTTCCAAGCCTCACGCTCTGCCATGGTCTTGCTGTAGGCGTAGGGCAGCCAATCTATAGTGGCTGTCTCATTCCAGTGGCTTTCACGGACGGTTTTATCCTCGTGTGCCTTTATGATATCCAGGTTTGACCCACGGGCGGCAGCCTCTATTGATTCCACGCGTCAGCCAGGACTGTTCTCAAGATCAGGGTGAAAAAACATGGCATGAAAGGAAACTCGACACGGCACATACCAGAAGATGTGATAACGACGCGCAGCACGGTGGGTGTTTGATTGACACTCTCTAGCACATTGCGTGTTCCTTCGAGAGCCGGCTTAAGGAGTTGACTTTCTGGCTCCTTGACTTCTTCAGGCAAGGGACAAGGCGAAGCCGTGTGGACCACAGCTGTACATCCCTCCATCGCTTTATTGAATGATCCGGGTTGCAGCAAATCAGCCTCGAATAGCTCCAATGTGCCCTTGGCGCCCTCCTTCTCCGCCAAGGCCCTGATCGGGTTGACCTTTTTCTCATTTTTCAAGCTGCGCACCGTGCCGTGTACATCCCACCCGCTCTGCAGCAGAGCGTCGACAATGTTAGCGGCGATGTAGCCACTGGCTCCGGTGACGAGGACTTTGCGACTCATGATGATGTTTGGTGGTGATGCAAGATTTTGGTGTTGTGTCCCTTGGCTGGTAGGCCAGGTGTCAAGTTATATTCATCTTAAATGACACATAAACAAAACCCCGTGACAAGCCTTGTACTGATAGATCTCATTTTGTAAAGCCATCTCTATTGGCTGAAATAATTCAAAAGACAGTCAGCCCTAGGCCTGTTTGGCAGCTTGTGGAGAGCCATCTTCATGTACTGTACCCACAGAGAGAGGCGTATGCATCCTGGCAGTGCAGAATGTAACAGCGATCCCTGCAATTCCCAAGCTGAAGATAATAAGGTGAGGCAGATGTTGAGGCGTACAGAGGCGGGGCAACATAGAGTGGTTCGGCCAGTGTGTCAGACCATCCAAGAGTCTCAAGAGTTGTGATTAAACAACCACACCTTTCCGAATGGCGTACTCCTCATATGCTTGGACTCGTCAACGTGTACACACTGGATTGGAATTTGGACAAATCCCCACAAGATGGACTTCGACAAAATTAAGGGCATGGATATTGCCGACCTGCTCCAGATGTATACCTCTGCGCAGGTGCAGTTTGCCGAGGCTCTTGCGAACGACAGCATTCCATTAGAGATTGAGATTGTCACTAGATCCGTCATAGCAGAAGCTTCCATCAGACTCGGCGTCTATTTATCACGGCAGCCGCTTCTAGAAGATGCGGTCCAGCACTTGGATGCGCTTCTGCGCCGCGTCCCGCAGGACTCCCCAGATCACGTCTACGTACTGAACAAACTCTGCGAGGCGGAGTACGAGCTCTACTGCTTAACTGGCTCCCAACAGCCGCTTGACAACTCGGTTACATATGGGCGTCAAGCCAATGACCTGTCGGCTGCGACTGGCGGTGAAGAAAGTCTGGATCTTCGTGTTGATATTCTGACCAATCTAGGCCACTCTCTGGTTCAACGTTTCGAGTTGAGGAAGAACCCCCCCGATCTGGAGGACTCCATTGCTTGCAAGCGGGAGATCTTGCGGAAGATACACAAGGATTCCGAGCGATATCTGACGACGGTTAACAATCTTGCTTCATCCCTGCGCTTGCGCTATATGTGTACACTGGATGAAGAAAATGAACGAGAAGCTATGGATCTCTTTCGAGAGCTGCTGTCATCAGCCGAACCTGGAACAAAGCTTTACGACATGGCCATTGGCCAGTTGGGAGCCTCGGCTGCTATGAAGTTTAGGGTTGAGAAAAACCCCGAAGTTTTGGATGAAGCTATCGCGAATTGTAATGTTGGTCTGGAAGTCAACGTTCCAGGACAGGATGGGTGGCTTGAGATGCTTTCACTTCTCGTGGAACTGTGCACGGAAAAGTTCAACTACACTGGCAATCTGGAAGACATGGAAACTCTTGTCCACAACTCTTGTCGCTTTTTCGATTCTATACCGACTAACCACCATAAGAAGGCAGATAAACTTTTGGCACATCTAAAAAGATTACGAGAGTGCGCATTCATGGTCAAGGATATGGTTGTATTGAAAAGCATCAGTGACAAAGGGCGCGTTGCTTTCGAGAGCATGCCAGTTGATTACCCAAACAAGGCACGGTCACAGCTTGAATACTCGCATATCCTGGGTCACCAGTACTTTCTGTCTGGCAGTTTGCAGGATCTCATCTGCTTAGCAGAGTATGCCCTGGTCGTGTCTGAGGATTTCAACGAAAGCACCAGAGCAAGCTCAAGCTTGCAAGCCCCAGAGGTTAACGTAGACTGGTACCCCAACTTGGTCGGCAACCTGAAAGTGCTGGCTGAGGCATCTGCTGAGAATTCTATGCGCCGATTGGCCGAGGAGGAATTGCTTGCGAGATTCAAATCTGATTATAACTTTGAGAATCGAAACTACGCATTCATGGCTTTGGATGAGCTCTATGAGTACAACGCTACACGTTTAATAATTCTAGCCACAGCCGTGACAGATGGCGTGGACTTGGTCAACGAAGAGATTGAGAAGCAAATAGCGGATCTCAGCCTAGGATACGATGAGCCCGTGGAGGAAGAAGACGAGACAGAGAAAACAGTACGAGAGATATTCAACAAGTTCCCTGGTAAACGGTTGGTGAACATCGATCCCCGAGATGGACACATGGTTTTCGATATCCAGGATTACGTCAAAGCTCAGTTTTTGAATGATGATAGTCCTCGTACACCTGACGAACTTCTTGCTAATGACGAAAGGCTGGAGCAAAGGCTATTCAAGAAAGCTGGCTTGGCAGGCAGGCGAACTAATCCTGGCCTGTGCTATTGGTGTCAGTGGCTGTGCAGACTTTTGGACCCAGAAGATGTAGGACTCAACTTCGTTGCCGAGGACTCCAACATCCCTAGCATCGGACACTGGAAGACGATCTTGTTCCGGAAGAGTGAATGCGCCGTCTGTAACTTGGCAGCCTCCTTGATCACGACAGCAAAGGGCCAGCTTCACACATACTTTGAAAAAATAGAGGAAGGGGGAAAGCGAATCCGTTACACGCTGGGCCGGCTATCAGATGGCGAGGGCGTCTTGAGAGTGGACGTTGGGCTCTCGTATGCGGGAGAGTTGCGGCTGCTAACACCCAAAAACTTTCGTAACGCTCTTCGACAGGCATGGGAAGATGATACTGACACATCACTTGCATTGGAAACCTTACTGGAAGACTCTGAGGGCCCCGTTCAAACCAAGGGGGGGCAGCAGATTGATTTCAGACTTATGAGAAGATGGCTGAAGGACTGTGACCACAATCACGGCCCGATCTGTAACCACCCGCGACCAGGAAACCGAATCAAAACCGAAATCCCCCTCTTTTTCATCGATGTCGTTAAGGAGTGCCTAGTAACTGGTACCTCTAGAGACCAATACTTTGTACTCAGTTATACATGGGGCAGAGTGAACATGCACATGACGTTGCTGGAGAATGTTGAGGAGAGAAGGCGACCTGGGGCGCTATCTTCTGTTCCCTTTCCAAAGACAATCAAGGATGCAATGGATGCGACGCGATCTCTCGGAGAACGACTACTTTGGATCGATGCCATCTGCATCGTGCAGGACGATGCATCACAGAAGGCAAGGGACATTCCAAACATGGATATCGTGTATGGGAGGGCCCACGCGACTATTGTTGCCCTGCACGGTGATAATGCTGATGCAGGGCTCCCAGGGGTTTCACCTGGATCACGCGCCTGTCAGCAGATTGAAACAATAGATCTGTCTCTCTCTGACGAAAACGAGGACAACGTATCTCAGGAGAAGAGTAACCGAAAGTGCAGATTCGTCCGGGGTCCTAGCCCGCTCCCCTTGGCCCTGCAGGCATCTACTTGGAACACAAGGGGGTGGATTCTGCAGGAGCGGCTTCTATCGAAAAGATGTATTTACTTTTCTGCTGACGCCTTTTACTTTGAATGCAATCGGGGAATTTTGGCCGAGGGCGGGGTGAACGAAGAGTACACGTCATTTTTCCTTGGAGAACTCTTCAATGGCCAAGAGATTGAGCAACGGCCAAAGCAAGACAACCCTATATCGGACTTGGGCATCATGCATGATCTTGAAGCTAGCCCTCGACTATGGAAAGCTTGGGCGGTGTATAAAGAACTGGTACAGATGTATAGCAAGCGCCAGTTCACTTTTAAGCCAGACATCCTCGACGGCTTTGCCGGCATCTTTGCTGTGCTGGACGAGCTGGTGCTGCAAGACTACGTCGAGAGCGCCACGGTGCATGGTTTGCCAGAGAGTTTCTTCATCCACGCACTTCTATGGACGCCTGCTGCCAAGATACCACGTAGGGGCCAGAAGCTCCGTACCGAAATGAGTGGCATGGATATTGGACAGCCAGATCTGAGATTCCCCAGTTGGTCGTGGGCGGGCTGGGACGGCTCGGTGGATTATAGGCTGTTTGAGGCGATCAAAGACGACAATGATCGGCCTTTGCCATTAGTACGCAAATTCAAGCTGCATGGCCAAGACATCTATCCCGATAAGTGGAAAAAGGCTGCACAGACTTGGCTTGGAATTGAAGAGAAGGGTAGAAATGAACCGTCAAACGGATTTGTCCAAGAGGAGGATAATCCACAAGCTTTGGGAAACCCTGGGCCTGCCACCCAGCATGAATCCGACAGTAAGAGAGACCTTGACTCTTCTAAAAGCATGGAGACCAAGGAGAAGCTCATTGAGCTTCAGGCATGGGAAGGGACAGCAGAAGACAACAAACCCTCAGAAAACCAACGAGCATGTATAGAAGGAGAAAAGCAGAGCCATACTCCCCCTGCCGATACTATCTTGGAAATGACAGCTCCTGTGGTCTCATTTACTTCCTTTTCATTGTCGCCAACCGAGGAATATCTGTGTTTGACGGACCAAGTACACACGAAGGGACCCCAAAGCGTTCGCCAGATCCTGGACAGTAGCGGTGCACACTGCGGGCTCTGGTGGTCACAAGGCGGCGAAGGATGGACTGAGGATGACCTGCATCTCGGACATGAGAAGAAGCTGGATCTGGTCGGTATTTCTTCCCACGAATCTTGCGAGCGTCCACTGCAAGGGCCGGGTAGTGTTCAAGGACCGATTGCGCTCTGGGATAGCGACATGTTCCCTGCAGTTGGCCAGCAGAGCGGCTGGGTAAACGTAATGGTGATCGACCGAGAACCAGGTTACGAGAACAGCGTTTCAACTCGGTGCACTGTAGCCATCATTCATAACATGGCATGGGAGCAGGCGAAACCTGCGCAAACGTTAGTCCGCATTGCATAGCGGACGAGATGGCTGCCGAGATGTTAAGTTGGTTAGATTTGTCTGCGCCCTTTTCAAACTGTGATGAGAATGAAGGTCTTTTTAGCGATTAGTTGCAACTGCTATCTTGTATTCCTCGAATATGTAGCCTATCAAATGACCTGGGACCATGGCTGATTGTCAGGAGCCTAATAATGCAGTAAATGCCACTACAAAATACCAGGAATGGAATCTCTGACGTGAGAGAGATAACCAATAATACTTAGAAAAGGATGATTTCCAGCCTGTCATACAATTTTGAATAGGTGGAGACAGAGTTGACATTCATATCGTGAAATTCACAGTAGGATGTTGGAAGAACAGAAACTCTTAGAGAGCAGATGAAAAAGCGGCCAAAGTGTATGTGTATGAAGATTCCATAGATTTATTACATGTATCTACTTCTTCTGAAAACTAAAAGCCGCATCCACGGTCGATGAGATATCAACCCCCCCGAGGATCAATGCCCAACCTGGGATCTCCTCGTCTTTAATTGACGGCACGTATGCTTTTTCGCCGGGAATAGGAACAATAGCAATCAGTCGCAGCGCTGGGAAGTGTTGTCCCTTGATGAGTTCCAAGACTTGTCCCAACGTGGTGTACTGGTACGGTACGATCAGTTCCTCCAAGCTCGGCGGTAAAAGCTCGACGATATTTCGAGCCCATTCGGCAGAATCCTTATCCTCGTCAATTTCTGTCAGTTCGGATAAGTCAATTTCAAGTTTACGAAGGGCATTCAGTTCTTTCAAAGAACCTATGAGGCTGTCGTCCCAAAGTTCCCCGTCGTACGTTTCTCCCTCGCGGTATGTTGTTGTTCTGAGAGTCAGAGCCTCGAGCTTGGTCCCAAACCTCCTCAGAGAGTCGCCGACGTCGGCAGCGTGAAAACCCCACTCCGGATCATCATGCTGGTAATCCTCCTCACGTCCCGAGAACCGGTCGGATGCAGTGTAGTTGAAGACTCGAAGGTTCGGAAACCGGGTGAAGATATCCTGGATGGAGTGGCCATTGACTATCGAGTCACACAGGGTGAGCGATGGTAGATCGGATGTCGCTTCTGGCCACCGTGTTGCATCATCCTCGCTCAAGTGCCAGTAGGCTTTCTTAAGACACAATTGCTCCAAGCCTGGCCGCAATAACACTGACTCAAACCCAGAAATGCTGGAACACATCTCGTCACCAATAGTGAGTGACATGCGCTTCAGAGACGGCAGACCATATACCCCGTACTCTATCTGAGGGTGTGAAATCTCATCGCCGGCGATTCTGTCGGGTCCGATCAGGAGCGCCATGAGATCTGTGGCTGTTTCGTCACCATGGAAGTTGAAGCGTATATCGATCTCGCGTACCGCAGTTGTCATTGAAAGAACAATTGCCGCAAAACAAACCTCTGGAATCTCGGGATCGGGATAGGCTTCTAGCCGAGGCCTGAATGCCTCTGGAACATGTAAAGAACGGATCACATCCTCCACCAGCTGCCGATCGCTTGCCAGAGTCTTAAGGCCATGGTCGACCAACGCCACCCTGCGCACGGCACGAGCCAGTTCAGGTAATTCATAAAGGCTTCTGACTAGCTTGGGCTCATGTTTAAGGTGTCGGTAGTCGGAGGCAATAGTGTGGTGCAATAGAGGTTGGGCAATTTGGCGGAATTTGCGACTGACGAGGCAGAGGGAATAAAGGGGCTTGAGCGAGTGCCGAGAGGCTTCCGATGTCGTCGGTGGAAGAAAGTTGGAAAACACGCGGGACCAAATCTCTGGAGGAAGCATTGTGCCGGTCTATGGACGGGTCTATTGATCGATGGTTGGTGATATTGGTGGTAGCGGGGGATGTGTGAAGGTGGATGAAGTATCAAATGTGCGAAGGTCCGTGAATTAATTCACGATTTAGCGAGCCCCGCTAGAGTTTAATTGGGAACGTTCGACCTCCCAGATTAGGTTAATTTAGGTGTCAATGAACGATCCTACGAAATTGACCTCGTTCCAATGCTACATCGCATATACTATGTAGAATCAATGAAGACTCGTCTTGTTCATTTACATTTTGCTGCAACTACATTTACATATACCTTTAAAAAGATGCTGCCACTTATGTTTGAGTAATCTACTAAAGTATAGAAGATAATTGCCCCAGTTTCGTCTCGTGTACGTCTCCAAGGGCAGGGGGTTGAACAGGGAGAACTGACTTAGCTCTTTTGATTGTCTCGCCTTTGATAAACTACAGATCACAGTCTTTCCCTCTCAGTGGAAGGCTTTTCCATGGACGGTCAATATGGGTATTATAGCATCAAGGTTTAGATTTGTTATTAATCATAGTACAGACCGCGAGCAATAAAATTTGACAAAGGCAAATGTCTTGATGCCTCATCCTCGCACTCGTTCCAGCTAGCCAGATATATAGCCATGAACCCTTGGTAGAATTCTAAGTGTCGTCTTAATCATCGTTGAACAAACCGAATGCCCTTCTGGGTCACTCCTCATGCAAAAATTGCCTAATCCATGCCACGGCAGCGTTCTTCGCGCGAGCCATCGCTTTCCTCTCTCCCTCTTTTGCCTCGTTTCCTCTCACGAGAGACGCGTGCTCCACTCCAGGAAAGTGTTGATAATCAAACGGCAGAGAAGAGGTGTGCAATGTTTGGAAAGCATGCAGCTTCAATTCTGGCGTGAACAGAAAGTCGATCTCGGGGGCAAGGATCTGCACCGGCACGCCGACTTGATCAATGTCGGCTTTCGTCAGCATTGACGGGTGTCCAGTCGAGATGCAGTCGACGAGCGGAGGCTGATGCTCTTTAGCCCCAAGGCGAAAGACCGCCCAGCCGCCATAGCAATACCCGACAGCAGCAAGTTTTGGGTATTTAGCTCGGAGCTCGCGTGCACAAGCGAGAACTTCGGGCTCGCGGACTTCGCGAGAGTTTCGTTGCATGAAGGCACCAATCGCGGGATCAGTCCATCGCTCTTCGGCGAATATGTCGTCTGGCAGACGCTCTCCGCCAAAAAAGTCGGGCACGTATACCGTGGCGTTGACCTCTTTAGCATAGTGATCAGCCAAGAGTCGGATATTTGGGAATTTCCAGCCGAACAGGTCAGCGATGAACAAGATGGCAGCGTGCTCGTTCGTCCCGGAGATGTAGACGTCAAGCCCAGCAAGACGGTCTGTACGACCGGTTGGGACCCCATCCCACTGGAAGCCTCTCAGGCAGCACTCCCGGACTGACATATTGAGATGTAGACGAGGTGTGATGGAAGATTATGAAGTTAATAGATATGAAACCTGATCACCAGAATGATAAGATGGAGAGATTTGTAACACGCTGATTTGACGAAAAGTTTTTCTTTTCGCGTCTCACAGGTTGAAGAATGTGTCGGAATGTTGATTTGTAGACAATACCTGATTTTATATCCAAACGATTCCCAAGAGCACTTCTCCGAACAACGGCCCTCAATTGCTCCGCCAAAACGCTAGCCATCATGTTTTTGTGAGAATGTAGAAAAAGGTATGTGTCAATCATACATAAGACTGTCTGCTTAGAATGGTCTCTTCGGAAAATGGTTCCTGAAAAGGAAAGCAATTGCAATCATTCGGGGTATAGGAATGGAGAGTGTCCACCCGTTGATGCGGGGCCGGTACAGAGCGGCTGGATTGTAGTCCCGACATTTATACGTTACTCTGAGAAGAAGTTTAGTTATTCCGTTTACGGCATATGGATGTGGTTATGCTGGGCCGAGGCGCTATCTAACGGGCATTGACCTCGGTGTTGACTTTATAAAGTAAGTCCCAAAGGAGGCACCCTGATAACAGCCGAAAGAAACCTGCGGGCTGGTAATACACAGCAGGCTTCGGCTGAATTAACACGCAGTTGAGAACTGTCAATCGTTTTCTTCATACTATCCCAATTTTCAATAGAGTATGTGGTAGTAAGGATTCATCATCCTTCAGCTTAGCATTAGTCTTTCAAACTTGAACCATCCAGATCTATCATGGCATTGGTTGATCCAAATGTATGATTCCAACCGTCCGCGAACCTCGTCCCACGATGGGCTTGCGTCTTCCAACACTGCCCGCCACTTCTCTCTCAACCACACATCATCGCAATTGAAGACCGACAGTGCCCCCATCATGAGCACCCAAACCATGAGTTCCCGAATAGTCGGGACAGATAAATCGACCTGAAGGCAAAGGTCTTGCAACCGGCTTGCTGCAAAATCATACTGGACTTTCAGGTCGTTGTGAACTTGAAAAACGGAGGCGAGCATTACTAACAAGGCCATTCGCACACACTCGTCAAGGTTACTCTCGCACTGATTCTCAAGTTCAAAGAGGTCATACTGAGCCGATATTAAGTGTCGGTAGACGTCTTCTTCTGACACGGCCCTGCCACCAGAAGTGAAATTATTCAAATCAAAAGCAAATTTCTGCAGCCGTTGAAAGATAGCAGAGATTCTGGGGTCTACGAGATGGCTTATGGATCTCTCGCGTACAAGGGTTGGGGGGATCAGAGCGTAAAACCCTGAAGATTCTGCTTCACAGGTCTCAAGGCGTGGTAGGGGATTGCTAGTGAAGATAACATGACGTCCGACAGCAAGAGAGAGACACAGGTCAATTCTAATTTAAAGCAGGGAATGTTAGGCAGGGGATAGATCTGTAGGTAGGGGGTACACATACCGACTCATTCCAACTAGTAACTGCAGTACCTGCTTGAAATTCTTGATGCCTCCCCGTAACAAGACGATTTGGCGTAGCCCGGTCGCATGGGAGGCTGTAGCGTGATAGTCATGAGAAACGAAAGACGCAAATGCGAGACAGATAACGGCAGCGATGTTTGAATTCTTCATGAACAAGGTGGAATCGGATAATGCAGTGTTCACTTGACGGATGGCCCGGCTTGTGTGAAACATCCTTAGCTGAGAGGGGCCCTGTTGTACGACATTTTCAGACACGGCACAGGCGAAAATCATGGAAGAATGGGCATATGCGTCGTCGAGGAAAAACCAATCGTGCCATGGCGAAGGCTGTGATCGGCGGGTAACAGAGAAGTCACAAATCGTAAAAGCCCGCATTATACAGGGGAGATCTGGGTACATTAGTATAGGTCCTACTGGAATCTATCGTTCAAAGTCAGGGGCCTCTCACTATGGTAAATGACGAAGAATGAAGCCGCGGTGTCTTCGCTAGTGAAATCCGGGAATGGAAACCACAGCCTGGAGATGATCCGCTTGGACAGCTTCTCCCCAGTTACTCGGACTATAGGCGGAGACTGCTTGTTGCCAGCAGCATCGGTACATGTAGGTTGAGGGCTGCAGTCCAGTGGTGCCCGTACCTCGAAAGAGGACATGTGGTTTTCGGCTGCAGAAGGAAGGCCATATCTCCTATGATCCAAGTCCTTTCTCGTGTCAGGTTTCGTATTCTTCCCTCTCATACAGTAACGACGAACGATCTTGCGTTCTCTACTCTCAAGCTTGCCTCGAACACTCCCCACAAAAATGAAGCTCGAGTCAGACCGCTCCATTGACGTTGACGTCATCTGAGAGACGAAGGAGATACAAGACAGGATGTGATTGATAATAAACCGTGGAGTAGGCTTCGAATAGAATACACGTTGGCTCAAACTGGAAGAGGCTAGGGATATTCGGAGCGAAGAGAAAGGGCTGCGGAGAGATTCTCACATTTTCAAACCAGGGCCGGATAGAGGTCCTCCCGATTCTCTTGCTTTGTCAGTGGAGCCTTTCCACAAGGGGCAAATAGTTCTGGTGGATTTGGCTAGCCTTGTCAGCCGGAATTAGAGCTCGGAGCAATCATCCCCGGTGCCCCCATAAGATGTATCAACAATGATTTCGTGTCGGGCTGAGGAAACAGAATGTTGTCTAACTTTTTTTCGGATACATCTATGCGAGTGCATAATACGGAGTTCTCAAGATTTGAGCCAACGCCATGAATTATGTTCGCAAGGGTCTGCCCATCAAAGACCAGATTAGACTTGTCAACGAGGTCCAACTCAATAATAAAGAGGCTCATTGAACTCGACCACATGGAAAGTTAAGAGCATCGGTCACGTATATAGAAAGGGAAGATTGAGATTCACGTGGATGAGAGTTTGAGTATATCGTGAAGAATAGCAATAGAAAATGCTAGACTCCATGTCAATATCTCACCATAACGAGAGTACCTTTCACAATAGTACGCTACAAATTATACATGGAATCGAGCATACTAATATTTCAAGCTACGTGTGCGTGAATCGAGACTATTGAATATATAGTATATCTATGCCTTTCAGGAAAATGCAAAGACGAGTTTGGACATGTCATTTAACCGGGTGTAGGGTAACCACCACTGGATGCTGCCTCAAGAAATTGCCGTCCGAAGGGGGATTTGTACTGAGAATTTTTAGGCGAGCTGTTCCAGGAGTTTTCATTTGAAGGGATGTAGCTCATGTGTAAGTAGATAGTAAATCAAGGAGTTTCAAGAACGGGAATTGGTTTTGCTATGCTGCTTTTTTATAACAGAGTTGTGAAGTATATATGTACATTATGTTTGCTAGGTAGCCATAAGACACCTTCGACCAAGAAAGAGCCAGCTGACTAGTGGAGCCATTTGTTTACCGCCATCATCATCTCATGTGTTGTAGAATTTTGTTCTTCATAAACCCCAGAGGCAATCAATAACCGAGATAGGTCCCGAGGGGATGGAGATGTGGAGACATGGTGGATGTTGAAGCAAGAAGATGAACAGTGGGACTGCAGCTAACCCTTCTGAGACCTCCGACCGACTACCGAAGAGGCCTCGTCTGAATATTCTGGGGGCTCTGGGTCCATCTAACACTAGCACGTTGACCTTTGAACTGTTTGCGGGGAATGGACATCTTCGTCAGAGCGGAGCTGGATGGCATCAAGCTTAATCGACCAGGGTAAGGAGGCTCGCGTATATATCATGGAGTATAATTTCAATGGATTGGGTAAGTATGTGTTCGAGGCAATCAGAAGAATCGCAGCTATTCATTCAGTTTCCCGGATCATCAAGATGAAAGCCAAGGTGCTTCTTGCAGCTCAACTCGCCTACACGGCATGTTGGGAGGGCGCCATGGCGCTCTACACCCGGGATAATACTCTTGTTCCATACCTGAACCCCAAACTATCTGCCAGTGATCGTGCGGCTGACCTTCTGGGTCGAATGACCTGGGAGGAAAAGGTCGGACAGCTCGGTGGAATTCGGCGTGTGGCAAGCAGATCAAATGGAAAGCTGACCTTCAATCGGACTTCATTTGAACATATCCGCGAGACGCAGAATGGTCAGATTGGTAGGAGAGCCCTGAAACTTGTCTCATTCACACATTTTGTTCTATTAACATGTGAAATAGGACCTGGCTTCCAGTTCAACTGGGCCGAAGAAGTTCTCCCTGTATTGAATCAAGTTCGATCCGAGCAGATCAACAGCTCGAGGCTTCATGTTCCATATATTACCATATCTGACTCCATCAATGGGATCTGGGTCTCCGGTGGGAGTCTGTTCCCCGGTACCAATGCAATGGCAGCATCATGGAATTTGGAACTGTATGGCAAAGCGATCGAGGCAATCCGTGACGAAAACCTTGCGTTGGGAATCCAGTGGGTTCTAGCCCCGGAGGTCGATCTTGCCAAGGATCCCAGAAATGGCCGAAATGGAGAAATGTAAGTAATCAGCCCAAACTCACTTCGTTTCAGATTGGGATCAACATTGTACTGACATGACACAGGTATGGCGAAGACGGTTACCTTGCCGGAGAGTTTGCCACACGGTACATACAAGTGATGCAGGAAAAGGACGAAAATGGCTGGGTTCGAGTCGCCACAACGATCAAGCACTGGGTCTATGGTCAAGGCAGCGGAGGTGTCAACCGTGCGAGCATGCTTGGCGGTCTCAACCACATCCTCAATGACCTTGGTGCTTCGTATGTGAAGCCAATCCGGGATGCTCAACCACTCTCACTCATGTCATCTTACTCCACCGTCGATGGGGTTCCATTATCCATCAACAAGTACCTTCTCCAAGATATCTTACGCCGCACACTTGGGTTCAAGGGACTCATCATGTCCGATGCAAATGCCATCGAGTATCTGTACACCGAGTCAAACGTTGCTTCATCCGCCGCAGATGCCGCACAAAAGGCACTGAAGGCCGGCTTGCAGCATGAACTGCACCCAGGCGGCAATGGTGTCTTTACAACCCTCATTACGGCCAAGGATGATCCGCAGGTCGTCTCTCTAGTCAATAGCTCTGTTCTTGCACTGTTGGAGATAAAGTTCCTGACGGGTACGTTCGACCGCCCTCTACCTACGCAAGAAAATCTGGCCAAGACATTGCGCAAAAAGGAGCATTTGGAAATCAACAGAAAAATCACGAGAGAATCGGTTGTCATGTTGAAGAATGACGGACTCTTGCCACTGAAAACGGATGCTGTTAAACAGGTTGCGGTCATTGGGCCCTATGCCGACATCATCAATGCTGGTATGTACGCTGCGTGCAATGCCACAGACCCAGTCTATGGATCGACGCTCCGTAGAAGTCTAGAGAACAAGCTCGGTGCAGAGAATGTGCTCTACTCAATGGGCACCAACTCCATACTCCCTTCCAACAACACCGACGACAAAATCATCAAGGAAGCTGTTGCGCTTGCAAAGAAGGCTGGCATTGCTATTGTCATGCTTGGATCTGGCCTCGGCACATTCGATCCCGCTACGATTAACAATCAGCGTACCGACCAGGAAGGATTCGCACATGCCGACCTGAACTTCCCAGGTCAGCAGCTGGATTTACTCAAGGCTGTCCTGGAGACAGGTGTGCCTACAGTGCTCATCATGAGCTCCGGACAGACCTTCCTACTCCCGGATTCCATATTTGGCCCTACCAATGCCGTATTCCATTCCTGGCTCAGTGGAGAGTATACCGGCGATGTCATCACCGAGATCTTGTTTGGGGAAACAAATCCCAGCGGGAAGCTGACCGTTACTATCCCTGAGGCAAACGGGGCATTTCCAGTCTCGTACGACTTTCTTCCCTCTGACGACGTTGGCGGGTTTGGAACTGCCCTGCTGTATGACTGGCACTGGCCACAAGTCACACGCTCGCCCCCGCTCCGGTTTGGATTTGGCCTGAGTTATACAAGTTTCTCAATTGGAAATTCCACTGTTAATGTGGACGGAGCGAGGGACAACTCTACGGTAAAATTCTCTGCCAGTGTCACGAACACAGGTGGGATGACCGGCAAAGAAGTCGTCCAGCTGTACTTTCGGCCAGTGGTCAGCGTGATTGAGTTCCCAGTGATGAAGCTGATTAGGTTTCAAAAGGTCAGTCTCGACCCTGCCCAGTCAGAAAAGGTTGCGTTCTCTATCCCTTATCATGACTTGGGTTACTTTGTGAATGGAGAGTGGCATGTTGATGGGGGTAATTACACTTTCTGGATTGGAAGCAGCTCTCGCAAGGAGGATTTGATGCAGTTGAATGTCACAGTTTCTTAAATACATAAGTTCTAGTTCCAATCGAAACCTGCTGATTAAGTCTGTGATTAAGTCTTTGATTATTTGGGCGACTCTAATAGCCATTCCCAATCTTGACGTCCGGTCCAAGAAAGAAACGGGTACACTCCATCCTCAAACGCATCAGGGACGGGGCCCATCGCTAATGGCATGTTCTGACCCCACCAGCTGGAATTTGCTCCTGTAACTCCTGAATCATCTGAAGAAAGTCGGTTTCCAATACCACTTGCTCTCGAAGCTGGGCTAATGGATGTGTTCAAAGGATTGAGGGAGTTATCAATCACAGGCGGCGCTGAAGTAGGTGCGTTAGATGGAGGTGTTGGGAAGCCCTGGCTGGGCTCGGCAGCGGACTGTGCACGAGTGGGCAACAGATGATCATCTTCAGCATCAGAAAACTCTGCTTGCCGCAACAAGCTATGAATGGCAAGTCTCTGTGTTTCCGCTGCTGGGGATACTGTTGGCTGCTCATGTAATGGGTTAGCGTTCGTCAGGGGCGGTCTTCTTGCCGTGGATGATGAACCACTCCATGTGTCATGCCCATGGTTGTGTTTTTGTAAGAACACAACGACAGAGCTTTCCAACTCCTTGATGATAGGTGCCACTGGGACACATGCAGGAAAAAATCTTTTGAGGGCTACGACACAAAGTTCAGCCCTGCTTGCGGCAAACTCTGGCGTTGGTCGGCTTGGGCTCTTTCCAAACCGAGAGATATAGAGAACCAGACGCGATGCATGGTACGCGCAAATCGCGGTGTCGAATTCAAGCATATGGCGAGACGCACTCTCTTGATTTAAAGTTGTGAGGATTTGGATGGCATTTGTGGCATGCTTGAGACATTGCTCTTCGGCAAACAGAAGTCGGGCGGAATCGACGGCGTCTAAGACAACAGATGGTGCAGCGTCTGGATAGCCCGAGACGAGAATACGGTATAAGTCGCAATTTGCTTGATGCCAAGAGACATGCATTGCCAACAACCTAGGCAACCATGGATTGTCAAGAAGACTGGCGACTTGTGCTGATGTGATGCGACTGCCATACGGCAGCTCGGCAGAAAACTCAGACAGGATATTTTCATGGTGCCGAATGAGCTCAACTAGAGAAGAGAGAGGCTGATCCAGAGGATGTAGCCCTCTGCCCAGCTTCATGATGTCTCGTCGGATTACCTCAAGTCGGGTATATAATTTATAGGCGGATTGCTCTCCGGGACGTGAGGACTCAAACTCATCCTCAGACTTGGGAAAGTTGATGTATATTGCCTCAATCGGACACAGCTCAAACTCTGGTAACCCGACAGAGAAGTATCTTTCAATAATCTTGAGCGACCAAACGATGCGTCGGCGGACCTCCCGCGCAGTCGGATCGAGATCTGGCCTTTCATAGTTGAGACGCATAGCCGCTGCAAACCTAGCTGCAAGGGCCGTCAACATGAATGCTCTCTGGAAGCGGCCGGATTCCACCCAATAGTAGATGCTCAGGAGGAGGGTCTGAAGACGAGGGACGGTTGGGCACTCGAGATTCATCCATATGCTCTGCTCGGCGGTTTGGATCCATGAACTTAGCTCTGGAGGCTCGCGCCGTAGGTGGAGAGATGTCACGGCACAGATGGCTGATAGGAGGTCCATGTGTACAGATCGGTCGCGGCATCTTCTTTTCGTGGTTTGGGGATGAAGAAAGGCATACGAGGGCAGCGGGTAGATCGTGTCAAAGAATGTTTCGACCAGCGACAGCATACCGTCCATGATAGGTTCCGCATCCTCCAGCTGCTCATGGGTTGATTCCACTGGTTGCGAAGGGGGAGATGTTAGATCAACGTCTGTATTAGTGGATTCGAGTCTAGTAATGTCTGTCGGCGAATCCTTCTCCATGTGCTCGGCTGGCTTGTCAGTTCTAGGAGGGACCTCTTGAGTTTGAGGAAGCGAGTCACGCCGCAGCCGTCTCTTGGGGGCTGGGTAATGACAGTCCTGTCCTTTACGCCGGCATTGACTGCACTGTGGGAGTGTGGCAGAGCACCGAATCTTGCTCTCGCGACATGATGCGCATGCTTTGATGCCTCGTAAGCGTCGTGGCCGGGGAGGTTCTATCTGATCTGAAGGAGACGGCTGCGTAAAGGAGCAGTGTAAGCCCAGTCGCTCACAGCTGCCGCATCCTCGATCAGGCCCACGCCGCCGATCACACCGAACCTGCGAAACCAATGAGCACGGGGTTAAGTTCCGAGACCAGGAAATATGGCCGGGTTGTAGTGAGAGAATGGAATTGGTTGCTTACCTTCCGACATCGGCATTGGGAGCAGTTTTGCTGTGGCTCGGAAGGCGACAGCCCAGACTTGAAGCATCCAACGTACGACTCCATCACAGACCGTGTGGAGGACCCAATGCCGTTAACGAGCAATTCAATCAAGGAAGAAAAACACTTGGAATCTCATTTGCGGGGTCCCCACCAAACAGTGACCACGTGACAGCTGAAGGCTTCTCTCCATGGGGCTGGTACATAGCAACAAGCCTCTTAAGTGGACACTCACTATGTTAATAGTTAGGAGGCTAGATTTCTTATTTCTTAAACTCGGCTAACTGTACGAGATTGAGGGGTTTCCTACGTGCAAATTGGCTAGCGGGTTCGTGGAATCAACACAACCTCAATAGTCTACAAACTATGTGGTGTCGGTTTGAGTTGCGCCTGGGGTCAATATGACTTTAGTGCATTTAGATATTCGAAAGATTTGGGATTTAGAGCTCATCATCCCAAATTGGTTATTTATAAGTTATGAAGGAGAATGACAGTCACTGCCGATTGCATTCAATTATGTTTTGCCAGAAATCTTGCGTACAGGATGAAACAGCCTTAAAACCTTTTGAAGAAAGCGTCCAAGGAGAAATCGTTTCGGTAGGTTTGTGCCCAAAAGGCAAACTTATACACCGTTTACTTCCTTTCCTCCACACTTACAGACTCCTCCTTGCTTGGCCGCTTGACGTCCTGGGTAATACCTTCATCCCGTCCAACAGATTGAGGAGAGACACCGCCGAACACTGATGTGAAGCGCATTAGCAACCCAAATGATTTGGAGTTTCGACTATGTATTAGTGTTGTGACTTACAGGCTTCCATTTCCTCGAGCGACTTGCCCTTGGTCTCCTTGATAAAGAAGAACACGAAGACAACAAGAGCGTAGTTGAAAATTCCAAACATTAGGAAGGTCTTCCAGCCCAAGTTCTTCACAGCATAGGGCGTTGCCAACGAGAACACGCAGTTAAAGAGCCATTGAGTGGAAGTACCAATAGCAATTCCTGCCTCTCGAATGCGATTAGGGAATATCTCACCCATATAAGCCTAGATAATAGGTAACAGGGTCAGCCAAGGGTATCGAGACGCCAAATTATTCGCAAAGTCTTACCCAAGGTACCGGTCCCCACGAAATGTTGTAGCTCATTGCTTCAAGGTAGATCATTGTCAAGGACGCAATCGACGAACTTGTCAAACCCTTTGATGGATCGGGTGGAAACTTGACAGTCAGAATAGCCACGATAAGCATATAGGAGCCCATAAGGAAAGCGCCTGCAAAGAGCGAGCCGCGGCGGCCAATTCGTTCAATCAAGAAAAGAAGGAAGAAAAGGCAGGAGATGACCTTTACTACGCCGAAGAATCCTGTAATCAGAAGGCTGTTCTGACCGGCTCCTACTAGAGAGAAAATTTGCGGCGCATCTATCGAGTTGTCAGCATATCTTTGAGATGCCGCGTGGTAGAAGGTATGTCTCACAGTAAGCCATTGACGTGTTTCCAGTAAGTTGAACACCTATGCGTACAAGTCAGTCATTTGAGTTCTCCAAGGTAGCCGATGAAATGCTCGTACCAACTTGCAGACCAATGATAATGAAGAGACGCATCCGATTTGTCGGGAGGATCAGCTCTTTCCAACTCATACCAGACTTGTCTCTCGCTTCCTCCTCTAGCCCTGCAAGAATTTCCGCAAACCTGAGGGATATGCTGTTAGACCAAACACTTCCGGATGGGACATGGGTTTACTCACTCCTGTCTAACTTCGTCGGACTCGCCGCCACGGACCCAAGCAAGTGATTCCATTGCCTCTTCCCGACGCCCATTTTTAGCTAACCATCTTGTGCTCTCCTTAGTCAAGAGCATTCCTAGTCCTAAAATGGCACCGGGGACGATCTGCAGGCCGACAGGGATTTGCCATTGCGCTGTTACATCAGGCATGTGTTCTTTGACCGCGTAGTCGATCCAGTAAGATGTCATGACGCCCATTGTAAAGAAGAACTGGAACATGCTGCCCAACATGCCACGGATGTTCTTTGGGGCCATCTCGGCCGAGTACATGGGGATAATAACAGTAGCCATACCAACACCTACGCCGCTAATGATACGGGCAGTATAGAAGGCACCGAGAGAACCTGTATTGATCGTCTGGATGATGGCGCCGATGTTAAAGATAACAGATGCCAAAATGAGAGACCATCGCCGTCCGTATTTCGCAGTAAAGGGCCAGATGAAGAAGCAGGAGAAGAATGCTGTAAAAGAAACAAACACAGTTAGTTACGTGCTGACCGATAGGTTCTACTGGTAGGAATATGATAGGTGAATGATAATTACCTCCTGCTTGGAGAAGACTGGTTGAGTTGGAACCAACAGACGCTCGTTGGTCCTCGGTGTACTTGAAGTCATGTTGAAAACTCTTGAAAGTGAGTATTCCACCCACAATACCGGTATCATAGGCAAAACAAAAGGATCCAACGCAACATAGTGCAACAAGATATACAGCGCGGAATGTTCCCAACGCCGTAGGCATTTTGGTTGAGGGCCAGGCTACAAGCCAAGTTGAATAGAATAGGGAAAGAATGAAGACTCCGTTCCTGTTGGTGTCATGGGCTTATGAGAAGGTTGGGTGATGACATCCTTCCGTCCCAAGGTTCATATATAAAAGAAATATGAACCATGGACTTTCTTCTCCCTGGCGATGAAGACCTGGAGAAGCTAGGGCGTCTGAAGCCAGCCCCAGTTGAACTACCAACTGAACATGGGGAATGAGATGATCTGCCCCTGTAAGCACGAAATCGTGTGGGGAAGCCGTCAAGGTCGCTAATTGGGTTGTAAACAAGAGAATTGACCTTTGATGGAATAAAAATTATCGTCAAGTCTTCTCTTTGAGTCATGCAGGGTTCCCAGGATGGAAACACGACCGACTACCGAGATTCCATGGACCTTGTTCCGCATTTATTGTCCCACTCATGAGCTTAGCTTCAAATTCAGAATGCTCAAGCGGACCGCTAATGATGTGATTCGTTCTACTTTGACCCAACGGGTAGTGCGGCATTTGTCATCTCCCAGGATCTTGGGTCCGAACATTGTATTACCAGATTGGGACAAGTCACCGACTACCGAGACTGCATGGAAGTATGCGAGATGAATGGTCCATGGGCTCTTCGCAAGTGGCTTCCGAATTTCGCAGGTTAGCAGCCTGGAGAAGGCCCGGAAGTGGGTAGTAATACGATTACTTCTATTGTTTCTTGTCATTCAAGAAGCGCTTTCTACCGCGTGCCCAGTTGGCTTCCCGTCGCCAGAAACCCGCTCTGTCTTGAGCATCTCAGTCTTCCTTTCCTGTGCCATTCCAATCAGTTCACCATGGCTTCTTCAACGAGACCAAATATCATATTCATCATGGCTGATGACCATGCTTCCAAAGCCATCGGGTGCTATGGAGCGGGCATTAACCAAACTCCAAACATCGACCGCTTGGCAAAGGAAGGCATGAAGTTTGACCACTGTTACGTGACAAACTCCATCTGCACTCCCTCGCGAGCAGCAATTCTAACTGGTACTCATAACCACGTCAACGGCGTTATGACACTAAATGATAGTATCAATAAGCACATGCCAAATGTCGCCAAACACTTACGATCCGGAGGCTACCGCACGGCTATGGTGGGCAAGTGGCATCTGGGCGAGGGTTCAGCGCATGAGCCCACAGGATTTGACTACTGGTCAGTCTTGCCCGGGCAGGGTGACTACTGGGACCCTGAATTCATCGAGTCCGAAGGGGAGAAGATTGAACCAGGCTATGTGACCGATATCATCACTGACAAGTGTCTCAACTGGATCACGGAGACCCGAGACACAGGGAAACCGTTCTTCGTTATGTGCCATCATAAAGCACCGCACAGGTCGTGGGAATGCGATGACAAGCACAAAGACCTTTACAAAGAAAAGATTCGCGTTCCAGAGACGTACAACGACGACTACAAGAACCGCGCCAAGGCGGCCAAAGTGGCCAAGATGCGCGTAGCAGAGGACATGACCTACCAGGATCTTGGGGTCGTCCAGCCTGACGGTGGCAGTCGTGTGGGCGAGCGTGTCGTTCAGGAGTCAGGATCAGCGCAGCGTAAAATTCCGACAAATGTTACGAAGCTCATTGACAAAGACGACGGCACGGTGTTCACATTCTCCAATGAGGCTGAGCTCTCTGAATTTAAGTTCCAGCGTTACATGCAGCGTTATCTCCGCGTTATCCAGTCGGTTGATGACAATGTAGGCCGGATGCTTGATTATCTTGACCAGAACGGCCTTTCCGAGAACACCATTGTGATTTATACTTCAGACCAAGGCTTCTTCCTCGGCGAGCACGGTTGGTTTGACAAGAGGTTCATGTACGAGGAGTCTTTCCAGATGCCCTTCTTGATCAAGTATCCTGCAGAAATCAAGGCCGGCTCAACCTGCAACGATATTATCTGCAACGTCGACTTCGCCCCGACCTTTTTGGACTTTGCGCGTATCCCCATGCCCAACTACATGCAGGGAGTGTCGTTCCGGGACCTTCTCCATGGCCAAACGCCTGCGGATTGGCAGCAAATTGCCTACCACCGGTACTGGATGCACAATGATATTATCCACCATGCGCGTGCCCATTACGGCGTAAGAGACCAGCGATACAAGCTCATCTACTGGTACAACGAGGCCCTGGGTGTCTCAGGGGCCAGACCAGGCGCAGAGGATGAGAAGGAATGGGAGCTATTTGATTGTGAAAAGGACCCTCTCGAGCTGTTCAATGTCTACAATGACCCAGAGTACAAGCAGACTGTAGCGCACATGACTCAGCTTTTAGAGCTGAAGATGTCGCAAATTGGTGATGATCCGGTTCACAAGACGCTTTCGAGCGCATGAAGGCTCAATGAGTTTTTCATAATGCGTAAATTAATAAAAGTCAAATTATGATTATTATGAAACAACAAAATAAATACAGACCAACATCTGTATGCACAAGATTGATGAATAATGTCGTAGAAAGAGGGAGGGGGGAATATGTGAGCCTTTACCTCGTCTAGGAACGCTCACATGCATAACTATCTAACGACTCTTGTGAGCACGCATAGCCAGGCCAAGGTGCGTCCCAAGGCCCCTCCGCAGTCTTGTAATTATGCCACTGTGGGACAGCATTCCACCGGAACAAGTTCTCGAGAGCAGAGGCAACCTTGATCAACTTTGCCTCGCTGTACTCCCGGCCGTGGATACAGAACCCGATGGGCATCCCCCATTTGGACTGGCCGATCGGCACAGATGCGACAGGATATCCTGCGTAGGAGGGAACAGACGCGCAGCCATTGTCAAATCCACCATTCGGATTGTTAGGTAGAAGCAAGGCATCAAGCTCAATGACGGTGCCGTTCTCGAAAGCATGTGTGTGCCCGAAATCGATGGCCTGTCGCGCAATTCTTCGTCCCCACCCGAAGGCCTTCCAGAACGTCCCGTTCAGACTTCCGTTAGTTGCAATAGCGATATCGTAAAAGTCTTGGCCAGACTCTGTGTTGTACCACCAAGTGCCGTTTCCAAGAGCTCCAGTCGTTGCGTTGTGCTCGTCGTTCCAACTAGCCATCTCAGCAAGAGTGCTCATGCCATGACGCTCGTCCGTCTCCGGAAATGTCCAGTTCTGAAGCCATTCACCAAGAGCCACAGCGAGAAGCGTTTTGTATGAGATGAGCTGATTGTATTCTTCGGGGGTATGGGCGGGCTGGCCAAAACCGTAGGGGTTCGCAATTTGGTGGAGGTAAGGATTGTTCTTCACGGGCATGTTAGCAAAGTCTGATGAAAGGATTACAAAACTCACAGTTATATTGTATAATTCAACTCCAGCTGCCTTTAGCTCTTGCAGTCGAGACTCGTACTGTTCGCGGAGACCAGGGGCGTTGATATTCTGCGAGTCTTAGCTTTCACCTTCCTAGCAGGCAACCCAGCCTTGGAATTGAGTACCAACTCACACCTGCAGTCGACCAATAGGGGTTCCAAGGAAGCCCGAGTCTCATACCCCTCAAGGCATGACTAGTTCCCAGCGCTGCCGCGTAGCCCTCCAGGGGAATCTTACCCAAAGCGTTGAATGTCAGATTATCACGATGATCTGGGCTCGCGATAATGTCCAGCACGATTGCGACATCCGTCATGGACCGCGCCATAGGGCCCGGAGTGTCGTGATAATAACTACCAGGAACGACCCCATGGCGAGAGACCAGCCCTGGAGTCGTTTTAATGGTGTACAGCCCAAGATTGGCTGAGGGATGGACGAGGGACCTGGATCAACTTGTAAGACAGTTGGAAGACCATAAGAGTACAAACTCTGCTCACCCATGTGTTTCGGTGCCGATAGCTATGGCGGCTTGGTTGCTCCTTACGGCGACCGCTGAGCCGCCACTGCTTCCAGAAGTTGCCTGTGTCAAATTGAAAGGGTTTCTGGTCTGGCCAACCCTCGTAGAGTAACCGTCCGAGAAGTTTGTAAGTGCCCTATGGTCAGCAGCTTCAGAGAGAGCGGCATGTCCCAGCAGAACCCCTCCCGCTGCTCGGAGCTTTGTCACCAGTGTGGCCTCAGACGAGTATCTTCCACCAAGCAGGACTAAACCACCTTCGCTTGTATTATGCTTATCATCTGTATAGATATTGTCCTTGACGAGGAAAGGTATACCGTGGAAAGGGCCCCGGATTCCTCTTTCATTTCTCTCTTGATCAAGAGCCGAAGCGATGGATAATGCATCAGGGTTGACCTCGCTGACTGAACGTAGAAATCTGCTCGTTTGAGATGCCGTATTAGTCTAGATCAATGAAAGCGTTGCGTTACTTAAATCATACTCGTTAGTCTGGTTGATCCTCTTGATGTAGCACTCTACCAGGTCCTGACTAGAGAGCTGGCCAATACTCATGAGGTGTTGTAGTTCCTTAACCGTCGCATCCTCAATGTTGACGCCATTGCACAAACTCATTGGAAAAGGATGAGGCATTTCTTCGGTAAGGATGAAGCCCATGATAGAGGCCACTATCACACTCCACAGAACCATAATGTAAGACGTAGATTGGCGCATGCTGGGAGTAAGTTATGCAGTGATTTCTAGTATTATTTTTTTTCCTCTTTAAAAAATAAAAAATGAATGAATGGGATCAATATTGCAGGTCAAAGATAGGTCAAATCCCCGTTCATAGAAGACTTCCAGACATGCCTGCGACTTCTGGGGCCGACTTAAATCAACCTCGGCCGAGGTAGTTAGAATCCCCACTGTGAGCTTCGTCTGACTTGACTGAATCATTCTCCCCATACCCGCCACCTCCGAGGAGCAGCTAAATCACATTGAAACATACGTTCGTGCGTGCAGGAGCCTCGTTAAGTATGTATTAGGTTTGGTCCTTGTAATACTTAGGTTAAATGCAGGTTAAGGCAAGGCTCAGCCCAGGACCCTTCTTGTTGATTACGGAGCAGCCCTCGATGGCATGACTTAATTGACGCCTAAGCTCAACTCAGCTAGTATGACTACGGAGGACCATTCTCGGCCGAGGTGAGAAAACGTATTAAGTCATCTCAAACAAGGTATTTACTATCTCGGCCGTGCCGATAAACAGGCGGTTTTTTAAATGGTGGTACTCGAATCCCAACATACCAGATTCAAGGCCCGCGAGAAAGAGCCAGCGCGAGGACCGCGACTCACTAAGGAATCATGATTGATTGAAATAGTAAAAGTCAAAATATGAACATCATAATTAACATAACGAATTAGGATCAACATGCGTGTGCACAACTCTCACATTGGTGAATGCCGTAGAACAATGGGGAGAAGATTAGGGGACAGGCTCAATAAAAATAGGAACATTTATGCTATACAATATGTCATTCTCAAATCGAATCAATTTGTTAGGATAGTTTCGGAGAAAAGTCGCTGTTAAAGACTATCTAAATGCCTACAGAGTCTAAAGATTATTAGATCTAGCTCGGAAAAATGCTCAGTATCCCTGGACTGCAGTAGCCATAAGACCACTTACTTACGCTTTCCTATACTAGCTTCTTCTTCACATAGGTATAATAAAGCATCTCTAACACTGCATTGACGAGTAGTTCGCTGGGGAATAGCTTCTATCCAGATAAGGGATCGCTGAGCAAGAGTTCCGATAGGGACACTGTCAATGGTCGGGCCCTTATGAAGAAACACAGCCAATGTAGAAATTCCTCGATTAATGCTCCCTCCATATATGATTGTCCAGAGCAGTATCCGTATCATGATCTCACAGCTTTCAGTGTTGTTCTAAAATATTTGACGATATATTTCTTAAGTAGAAAACCATTTCGCAATTGCGAACTGATTAATTTTAATGATTGTAAGAAACGCTAACTAATAAATTTAACTAAAAGCTGACCGAACAGTTTCGGAGTCATAAGAAAAAAGTACCTTTCATTCAGTGCGCCATGCGCAGAGAACAACCAAGAGATTTGGTGTGTTCTGACAGCGGTGAGAGACAATTTTGAAAACAACACAGCAGAGCCCTGGTTCAAAACTCGGCTGATATCTCCGCCGTATACTGGAAGTGGACATCCCCGGGTGCAGCTGAGTTTCACATGACATCAAATCTTGCTGCGTTACTTCTCTCTCTTTGACGGTTGGCCTGTGCGTGGTGTTTTGACAGTAGAGAGACAAACCATTATCGTTCATTGCCGATGCCCTCCTTCTTTATCCTCAAAGAAAGTCATGAATCACCGGACTGAGCCCGGATTTCCTGATCAGTTTTCCGGCATCGCAGCCGAGGTTCGAAACGCGAATCGCATGCGTGCTGACTAAGAACCCTTTCGTCCAGGCCTCCATAATAATATCCTTGTTATTGAATGGCACCACATTTCCCTGTTTCATCAGATGTTGATGGGGTCATTTGCGGCACTAATATGAGGCTCGAGAAACTCATCAGAATGCCGCGGATTTGATCTCAACTGCTGGTCTTGGAATTCCGTTTCATATTCATGTCTGGCAGTGCAATCCCAAGCCATGCCGGTCAACGAGTTGCCTCTGGAGATATTGAGCCAGATCCTGGGCCTAGTTACCGCTCCAGGGGGGACCGAACGACTCGACAGGCACCATGCTGAGCATATCTCTCGCGCGCGGCTTGTATGCCGTCAGTGGAACTCTCTGGCTGTTGGACATCTCTTTCACACCATCACCCTTCGTCATGGGGAGGGCGTAGGTGACTTCCGGACGTGGCATCAAATGATCGATAGCCCCGTAGTCCGAGACGTCGCAAGGGCTGCCATTATTGAAACTTACCCAGAGACTCTCTTTGAAGTTGATTTCGAGGCGTTCAGTGCTTGGGAAGCAGAAGGTGTCTACCCTGCTTTCATCCACGCCATCAACAGAGTATTGGAACTCGGTAAGCTCAAGACAGTGCAAATCAGCTTCTCGGAGCACTGTGCTGGGCTTGAATACGAGAATGAAGCCAGCGGGATGTTCTTTGAAACACCGTCATCTCGAAATCACACCCTCAAAGCTGTGTTCTCAGCTATCCGTCAGCGAGCCAAGGACCCAGTACTCAGCAAAATTACCAACCTGGTGTTGATAAATCTGCAGAACCTTCCTAACCCAGACTTTGTGGCGACGGATTTATTCCGAGATGTCATGAAGAAAATAAGTCACCTCAAGCTTCAGATTGCAAACGAGGATACTGGAGTGGGAACAACCAATGGCCAGTTGTGGCAAATCGAGCGTCGCTTATTTGAGCCATTTCTACACCAATACTGGCTTACCCCCATTACCGACCAGCTCACAACACTGGACATTGGGTTCAATGAGCTCTGGGGCAGCATACCGGCATATTTCGATGGTGAAGGCCTTCTATTCTCACGCCTGAAGAAGCTCCGGCTTTACAACTTTACGATATCACACCACAAGCACTTTGACTGGGTACTGGCCCAAAAATCACTCAAGTGTCTGATACTGAAAGACTGTTATATTGCCACCTATCTGGTACTGGCGAAATCTGATCTAGAGGAGTGGGAGCTTCCGACGCACGACTGGGACCGGTTTCCCGATGGAGCATTCGGATTTAGCCGCGAGGCGGAAGCTGTCTATAGCTTCAACGGGACTTGGAAAGCGATCTTCAACCGGATTGAAGAGGAGCTCCCCAATCTCTTAACATTTCGAGCGCACTATGGAGCCGCGGAAAAATCTGCCAACAGCGAACTCAACCTCTTGAGCCCATCCCGTTATATTGTCTTTGAATACGGGACTACGCCGAGCACTTGGGTTGAAGCCGACATACAGACCGGGGAGATGATATTTGGGGATAACAATCCAAGTTCGCTGCCACGAAGGTGGATGGATGGCCTCATGCATCCCCTAAAGCGGCGTAAGTTGAATGTTGCCAAGTACAGGCAAGAGGTAGATGGCATTGCATTGGACAGTTTGGTCAACACTTTGAGACAACGTGCATGGTATCAATAAGTTTAGAATATACACGGAGAATTATGACCCTATTTTTGTTGCCATATCACAATTTTCTCCTTGTCCCCAAATTCAGTACAAGAACTGTACGTCCGTTAATATTGATCGGCGGCTGTTACTGTTACTGGGATTGGGGTTGAGGGGAAGAGGATTTTGGAAATACGTTCAACCGTATATGATCTTATGTTTAAGATCCAAGAAAATGTGCGTAAAGTAAGGTATCCAGAGTTAAGTCACATTGACAATAAGCATCCAAGAAAAAAGTGGCTTCATCACAAGAAATAAATCTTCTACAGCCATTGCCGCAGACAACAACCAGAGCCACTGCTAATATACTGTGTCTCGTCCCCCGCCCTGAGTGCGACACTCGTAACCAAACTAGTGGCATTAAAGCAACCAACCAAATAGCATTTAATTTAGAACAGAATCCCAATATCACGTTATCCTACATTGTCAAAGCTTGTGATGAAGTCCTCCTTAACCACTTGCATGTATAAGGGGACTGTCTTGCACGAGTCCTTCACCCGCACGCTAAAAATAAGTTGACTTATCGACTAACGTAGGTACCGAGCTATACACGACTGGCCGATCCTCTTTACATTTTGCTCCAGCATCAGACGTCCCCAGAAAATCAACCTCAGCGCTGATCTGGAGTTCTCTCCGGTGTAGGAGCCTCGTGCGCGGTGTACTGAGAGCCATAGCCAGCAAACTTGCTTGGCGGGTACTCGACAGGAAGCTCGGTCACAGGACTATGATGTCCAAAGTGAGGCGAGTGAGGCGAGAGGCTCGCAAACGGGGGTGGTGAGCTTGTGGAGGCATGGCTGCCAGGCGAGTATGCCCAGTTGCCGTTGGGGTAGCTCTGGGAATTGTAGTAGGAGTTCCCTGCAGACATCTGCGACACTTCAGGCCGCTGCTCCTGAGGCTGCTGTTGTTGCTGCTGCTGCTGCTGCTGCTCTCTCTCCCTCTTGCGAGCCAAGAATCGTCGGAAAAGGAAGAACCAAATGAGGCCGATGATGATCGCCGCGCCAACAACGGATCCCACGGCGATTCCAGCAATAGCCCCCACGGACAGCCCGGACTTGTGATCGTCATCGGAGCTGCCGCCCGTAGATGTAGGGATTGCTCTCGTCGGCGTCCTGGTTGCATATGATGCTGTTCTGGTCATCAAGACTTTGAGATCTTGATTCTCCCAACCGGACTTGGGTGCAGTGACGGTTGCTTTGCCCGTAGCTTGCGCACCAATGACGGTCGCAAGGGGTGAGGGTATCACATAGTTGGTCTTCTTTGGATCAAACAACGCCCATATGGCGCTTTCGTTATTCTGCCTTCCCAAATCCATGTTGTGAAGCCCCCAGACTGCGGGAGAGTCGCACTTGTCGTCCAGTGGGAAGAAGCCTCCCTGGACAATCATCTGACCTCTGCCAACGACGTTGCACGTCAGGCCCCAATGGGGGACAGTGCCGTTCGAGCCGTCTGGAGGATAGAATCGGGTCCAAGTGAAGCTGGGGACTGAGAGCACGTAGATATCATCGAAGCCAGGGCCATCTCCAGGCTGACCAGGCAGACCACCATACAGATAGCTATTTCTATTAGCCAATAGGCTATTTAAC